GAACCCTGAAACAACCTCTGGGCTGATCTAAGTCAGGGCACGGCTAAATGATACATCAATTTTAAATTTAGCAAGCTTTACAAAGGGAGTTTAACTCACAAACCTAGAGAAAAACCTTTAAATCAAGAGCGAGACCCTACCAGACCTATATATTGAACTGCATAATGTGGCTTATAAATTAACTGCTAGAAACCGTGCTTTCTGGTTGGCTGGCTGTGCATGCTTCATATGCCTTGTGTTTCTCTGTAAATCGCTAATTAATAATTGCATCCAACAGAAAAATTTTTTTTTTAAAAATCAATAAATCCATTGCTTCTAAATTGTAATGAAATTAAACATGATTGCTTTGTGTTTCTCTGCCAAGCAGTGATGGACAAGCTTTCCCATGCTRACTATGAGGGAATAAAACCTCTAGGAGGAGGTAAGARAGGTTGATTTGTGTCAATGTAAGGCAATATATGGAAGTTCAATTATTTAGAAAAATTACCCTTAAATGCTGTCAAATTGTAATTTTCACCTCAAAAAACTATAGTTAAATTGTTCATTTATCTTTATCTTTACTAAAACTGTCATTTTAAAGATTTTTTGAGTTGGAAAATCAGGAATCGAAACCTGGAACGGCCCTTGGACTGGACTTCGGTAAGGTGGATCTCCGGATCGAAACACTTGAAAAACTGCTTTTCTTTGCTCAAATTGTATGGGTATATGTTAACTAGCTATTAAAACACATTTTAGCAAAGAAATTTAATTGATTAATTGCTTTTTTCCACAATCCAGTTTACCAGTGTCCAGTCCAAGTTCCCATTCCTGAGTTCCTATTCCAGTTCCATGCTTTTATGTTTCTATTTAGGCCTGACTCTGACCTCCCTTGGCTAGTTTACTGGCCTCTCTATGCCTCTGACTTGTCCAGACGCATAGATAGGCACTTCTATCAGGGCCGTAACCAGAACTTTTACAGGGAGGGTGCACATCGAATAGAATCGGACCATTGATCATTTCTTTTAACAAAGCAGAACCAAAAAAAAGGAGATGGATGACCGGACATTAAGCTTTTATGAATATATGGACTGAGGCTATTAGGCCGAGTTCCATTTTCAAGACTGAGGGCACAGTTTTTCCCTATCCAGACCAACTATAGGAAAAAATGACTATTATATAAATTTTTTTCCTGTATTTTTTTTCTTGTTTTTGTAATCGTTTTGTTTTGTTGTTTAGCGGCAAAGGATACTGGACCACGAGTGCGGGAAGATACTAACAAAATACCGCCCGCTCAAACAACCAATCAGAACGCATGATGTTTTAGGATACCAGACCAGAAAAAAATAAAAATGATTTATACTTGCACTAACCTCTTTGTCATCTAGTAAGGTTGCTACTCTACCAGGCTGAAAACAATCATAGGAGATGATTAGTATTGATATGACAATAATATCACCAATGTTAAATTTATTATTAGTTAAATTTATTATTTAATAGCTTTTATTATTAACTTTTTAGTATATGTATTCTTTATCTATATATTGTGCCGAGTGGATCCGCAAACTACTTTGACAATGTGATGACGAAATATATCGGCAATAAGAAGACAGACATTTAAAAAACTGATGTCTGTTTGTTTTTTACAATAACAAAAACAATAAAAACTTCTCATTTTCATAGCGATCAAAACATCCAACGGAAAGAGTGCGCACTCATTGACATCAGCTTTATCTGTCTGTCTGTCTATATAGTAGCTGCCTTAAGCATCTACATGTTCAGATTCTTTCAGTTCAACCCTGCCCTGTTGAGCTGCACCACTCAGACTTTTGGATATATTTCAAAAAGGCTACTATAAAAACCACTGCTTTTACAAACTTGCATTTTTTTAAATATATCCAAGTCTGAGTTAGGTTTTTGATTCACTGAAGCCATGATGATCCAGACATTTTGGGCAGCAGTGGTCATATAATCATGATAATGAGGGTATGTTTCATGGATATCTACAGTTGGGTATAGCCTGTTGATTCTCCAGTCATTGGGGAAGGGGGTTCAGCTCCCATCTTAACCCTTCAGGACCATCCTCCTAAACTCTCTCCAAAGTGAGAAGAACGCTTTCATATCTTAATACAAATTCAGCTACTTATTCATGTTATTTACTATTGTCCTGCAAAAAATGAATCCTTTATATGAATTTCGGAATGATGTCGGAAAACGATTGCGCGAAAGTTAAAGCTCTTTAATTAATGTGATCTTGAACATAATAAAGAAACAGTTCATTTCCAACCATTGTTTTATTTTTCTATTTCATATATCCTACAAAATTAATTATCATGATATATACAATTCAGTAATGATGAAAAGGTAAATTATACACCGTGAAAAGATGAAAAAACTTACTGACGTTTTGGACGCTAGTCCTTCGTCGGACTAGCGTCCGAAACGTCAGTAAGTTTTTTCATCTTTTCACGGTGTATAATTTACCTTTTCATCATTGCTATTTCATTAGAAACACCGACGCAGCTCACACTAGTTTTTAGCTAGTTATATCTTCTAAATTAATTTCTAGGAATCATTTCCTGTGTATATTTGGTCCATTTTCTAAAATAACTGACTTACAACTATTTTCCAGGTTGTGTGTATGTTATATGTCTTTAGGAACTAACATGCAAATTAGCCAAGAGAGAGGGGCTCTGCAGAGATGAGATGATTTTTAGCCCCTTGCCGTTGATTTTTACCCCAACCCCTCTAAAATAATATGACTGCTAAAAATCCTTTATTTAAACTACAAGTCCACAGTGTCATATATGTGGCGGTATAAGTGGATATTATAGTACATAGTTCTGTCAGCCGGTTATGATATTCACTATAGTACAGACTGCAAGTTTAGATGTGCAAGCTTTGGGTGTGACGTTTTCTCATTTCATACCACGTGTCATTCCCTTGAGAATAAGCGTTTTTGCTTGAGTTGTATCCATATCCATGTGGCTTCTCATTTGCAACAAAGAAATGACACTCTAGGGAATGATGTGGTCTGACTTGAGGTGAATTCATGAGTTGGTATAACCTAGTGTCGTTGCCATAATTTAGCCGTCCTGAGAAGGAGGATTGATATATTACAAGCGTAATGGCAGACCTACAGTCTTATAGACCATCGTCTCACTGTCAACGTCTTAGACGTTCTGTATTAAAATATTTGCAAACATTGCGAATTTACTTAACATGTACACTGTGTGGATTTGCTAGTTGATTCACGAGGGGTATTTCTTCCCACTTGGGGTGCGGCAGAACTTATAGGTAAGTCTTTGTCCACTGACTTTAGCCAGGATGTTTTTACTGTAATAATATCTGAGAGCACGACTGAGCTTGTCGTATGTCATGTTCTTTCTTTTTTTCTGTTTTCCCCACAGCTTGGCTACCATGTTGTGGTCTACCATTCTGAAGATACCTTTCTGAGGATTCCTCCAGGCAATACAGTCATCGTAATCCTTGGTTTCAAGTAGGTGATGGAGGAATTCCCAAAGGAACTGACAGTTGGCATGGGGAATGGTGTCTGAAAGAAAGAAATAAATGGATTAATAAATGATAGTGTGCATTAATGAATGAATATAAGTGAATACATAAATGAATAAATGAATGAAAGAAAGAATGGATGGATGGATGGATGGATGGATGGGTG